CTTCAAAGTAGGCGTCTTGGAACCTCACACAATTCTTGCAGTCGCCATCAACTGCCCAGTCATGTTTTCCTGAATCTTACCAACCATCTGAAATCTCTGCCCTTTCAAAGGCAATTTTAGTTTTGGGAAAAGCCAGAGGTCGCAGGGAGCCAAATCTGGGCTGTAGAGGGTGCTGAGTCACCTGGGTGATTTGTGTTTCACCAATAAACTCTGTACAAGACGTGATGCTTTAGTGGGTGTATTGCCGTGACGAAGCTCCTAATCACCAGTTGCCCATAGCTGCGCCCTTCTGAATCATCCACATAGTTTCCATGGAGGAAAGTTCAAGCTTAATGCAAAATTTGATGCAGATTCGTTGCTCTACTCTTTCAGTCATTTTGAATGTGGCAGCCACACAGTACACATGCCCACTCAGTGGCATCTACCACCCCCACTGACTAGTACAGTGTAGTCGTCCTTGTTCACACATGCACAGTCCAGTCCACTGTCCTTGGTTGCCACATCACATCGATGTTGTGCAAGCTCTTCTCGTTATATTAGCCATGTCTGAACCTTTTCCAGACAGACCTTGTATATTTTTTATTCCTATGATTCCTTTTAAACCAGTAATTATTTAGTAATGGGTTCTAATTTCTAAGTGGCAGGGGTATAATCAAATATTTTTACTATTGACTTTTAACCTGATGAATTGCAGTCATTGATGGTGGTCTGGGTGAAAATGGTTAAGACTTGCTTTATGGCCTACTGTGTGGTCAGTTTTTCATTTGTGCTTGAGAAGAAAATGCATTTCCTAATTGTTGAGTGGAGAATTAAAATCAGTTATCTTGACAACTTTTCCTTTTTACCTGTAATTGAGGAAGGTGTGTTGAAATCTGTTCTGATAGACTTGTCGGTTGTTCCCTGCAACTCTATCAAAATTTCCTTTTGTATTTTGAGGCTTCTTTTTGAGCCATGACTATTTAGATCTTCTGTCTCCTAAAAATGCTTTTTCTCTCAAAGTCGATGTTATCTGATCTTAATATATAGGTGCACTGGCTCTATTTGGATTAGCATTCTCCAGGTATGTTGTTTTTGTTTTCCCATATGTTTACTTTCAGCTGTGAGAGAGAGAGAGAGAGAGAGAGAGAGAGAGAGAGAGAGAGAGAGAGAGAAAGAGAAAGAGAAGGGGGGGAGGTTTGTACTCAACAGGTGGCTAGATTTTATTTTCAATCCAGCTGCTAGATTTAAGTGGATGGTTTATCAACCCATTTATGTTCATTGTTATTATTCACATAGTGGGTTTTATTTTTCCCATCTTACATTTTGTGTGTTTTTGCTCTTAATTTTTTTCTCTTTTCTTGCCCTTCTCAAGGGAGAAGAGGTTCTTTTTTTCCCTCTCCTTTTATTTTATCCCCACTATTATTTTGGAAGATAAATGCTTTGTTCTGTTATTTAACTGGTTCCCCTTGAAATTTTGTCATGCCTCCTTAACTAAGCAAATTATAAAATAAATATCGTAAGCCCTTTTATAAACATATTAACACTTTAAAATAAGAAAAGTGAATGTGTCCAGTATATCTTAGTAAGCTGGGAAAAGGTTAGAAGAGTGACTTGTTTTTCAATATACATAAACATACTAATTTGTTTGCTGTTTTCTATATATCAAATTTTGGGGATTTATTTTCATTCTAGCTGAAATAAGTATATAGGAATTCCTTATAAAGATGTCCAGAAACATGCAATCACACCAAAATCTGAGTCCCATTTTACATTTTTTAATTTGACAATAGGAATGCATTGCTTTTTACCTCAGTTTATCCGTTGGTGTTCTGTATGGGGTATTTCAAACCAAAAGGGATATGATTTTAGGGAATTAGGTTAAAAATTATTGGAAGGGGTAAAAGAGCAAAGGGGAAAGATAATGTTTCCAGTGGCATGGGGAAGCTGTTGACCCTGCAGGTGTGAGCACTATTCTGAGCCCAGTGTCCTCCACACCAACTCTTACGTAGTTGCTTCCAATAGCCCCAGATTATCTGTCTGCTCCGTGGTCCCCTGCAGGAGTTTCTGTTGCATTGGTGGTGGCATCACTGGGAACAGAATGGATTCTTTCTTTCATGCTTTTTAATCTGGTTTTACCATTGGCAAAACCTTAAAAGGCATTCAGTCTGGGAAATGTAGTTTCAGGCTTCTAACTGTAATGATTTAGGGAAGGTTTTTGAGGAGGATAACTGGTCTGAATACCTGTGGACACAATCTGCCACCTGATGTTATTTATACTTCACTCCACAAGCAAATCTGTAACTGTGTCAGAGTGTTGGTGAATACTCATTTAACCAGGCATTTTAACTTACCAGTAAGGTTCTAGAACTGCAGAGGTACTGCAGAAGGTTAAGAATGTTTCTGTATGGTCCATGAAAAGTATTGTAGACATCTTGATGGTATTAACTATGTTTTAAAAATGTAATTTTGGTCATATTTTCCCCTTTTGGTTGTTAAATGCAGCTGAAATATGAATCTAGCTAGGAATTTGCATTGAGCAGGGACTTGCCATTGTGCCATATATTTGGCAAGAAAGTTCAAGAATTGGTTTGTTTTTCTAGGACATGTTATACAATAAATACATTCTAAACTTACATAATATCTTCAGCTGTAGTTAATTTTACCCAGAACATTTTTCTACACTATATTCATTGAGTTGAATATGCTTACTATTATATATAAATATAAGTGAATGTATTCCTTATTAAGAAAGTAAGGGAATGCCAGATAAGATGGCATATGGTGTCCAGTTTTCTCTCCTTTCATAAAATGGGGGAAACCTGAAGAAACACTGCAAACTAGGGAAAGTTGCTACCCCTATACCAGAAATTTTAAGAAATCTCTCTTAGGTGCGGAGAACTGATCATTCAAATCAAACAAAGGAAGAAGTGGAGAGTCTTTATTTCCTACGCCCAAGAAAGCTGGATGGTTTTAGTGGAGATGTGTGACTCAGTTAACACCCTGTAATTTGAAAGTTCTAGGACTGAAAGGCTGTAATCAGGTTGGAGTCCTTTCCAACCCACGTCCACCTATAATGTCAACCAATTAAAAAAACTTTACAGTGTAACTCAAGAGTAGGTTCTTCCTCCCAATTCCACTTCTGAATTGTAGCACTACAAAAACCCTGGGGCCATAGTAGATGCCTGAGTGAAAGCTGAGCCACAGAGGAGAAATTGCAGTGACCTAGCCCACCTCCCACAGGAAACTGATAACCTTAAATTTATGTGATTTCTCCAGCTTCTGCAATCACTACAGTGTAGTCATATAACTAAAATCCCCCTTGAAAAATCCCAAGGAAGTCATGATCATATTGGAAACTACCCCATCAATTCTCAGTAGGTTAGGTATTTATTTACTTTGTTGTCTAGTGTTTGAATATGTGGCTGGGCTGATTGTTCAGCTGGCTACTAGCTAAGGTAGTAGGCTTGTGTTGTAGAGGCTTAGTTTTTCAACACTAGAATGATAAACAATACGTTGGTATGCTTACACCCTGAAAGACACCCAGGAGTTGAGACCATGGGAATGGCAGGCTTGCAACACACGCCTCACACTTGAGCTCTCTGGGGCTTATCCTTCTTGAATGGTATGACTGGCAGAATCACCAATGCTAAATTTAGAGTCTCTGCCTCTGGCTGAGCACACAAAGTTGAATTTTGTGGGCATCAAGTGAGTGAATGACGTGACCACTGTAAAGAAACTAAAAGTCAAAATACATGTATGAAACTGCAGCATAAAAGGAGGAAAGCAGAATACTTGAAGCAGAAGGGAGCATACACATAAAAGGAGCCTCATAGAATAAGTATATTTGACAGCAATAGCTTTATTCTCAATATCCTCTAAGACTAAAAACGAGAAGACAAAACAACACATGAGGCTGTTCAAGATGGGGATATTGACATCATGTGAATAAAGCTGCTTATAAAACATGAATATAATTTTGAGGGAAATATATGCAAAACTTGTATGAAGTTGTTTCTTTAGTTCCTAGATTGAAAAATGACTTGCTGTAAAAGAACAATAAGTTTGGCATTCATGGATTTGACAGTCCTGCTTTTTGACTATTTATGAATAACCTGGGAGAATTTGAGATATGCAGAGGTATGTCATTTTGCTGAGATTGGATGTGGATGTGAGTACGTTAGCTAGAAAGTGCACCTTGCCATTGCTCAGCCTAACCTATTGGCAGCTGTTTTCTTGATTCATTCTCTCTTCTGCAGTACTTGCCATAAAGCAATGAACACTGCTTCTCTGTAAAATATGGCTCCTGGAAAGAAAGAGGAGTGTATCAGAGCTGGTGTTAAAAAGTGAATAGTCTTAAGATACTGACAGTTTTTGATCAGAAAACACATTTTTGATACATTAAAGAATGGAATCTTTAGCATGAACAGGGTCATTAATTATAGGAGATATTTGGGCAATAATACCTGCAGATGTGAGGATTGACAAAGATGATGTTTCTCTCCTTTACAAATATTGAAGTCCTCTGTATAGAGTTATTCAGGTAAAATGTGCTGTTAAGTAAGCTGCCGTTAATTTGTATTAAAGAATCTCAGGAGCTTCCAGTCATGCATGATTTTAGATAAATAGGTGATCAAAAAGATCTTTTGTATTTTAACAGTATTAAGATGATTTTCTAACTGTAGGGAAAGAGCTGATGCATTCCATGGAAGATGACTAAATATAAATGCATTATACATGACTGGAAAGTAATGGCAAGCAAGACTTCAGAGCTGAGCTATCGTGATATTTTTATCCAGTGTGTGGGGTGTTATATATGCATCACACAGCTATAATAGAGCTATCACATGGATCATTTGAAAAACAAGATAGAGATGTTTTAAAAGCTTCTGTGCTTGACTTCTTAGTCAGATGCTGCACTATTTGGCATCAGACAACTAAAGTCCGAATCCAGATATTAAAAGGTGAATTATTTTAAATAACTGAATTGTAGTAAAGAACTAATTTATTTAAAATAATTTCAGGAAATGGAAGATAAAGTGACTAATCCAGAAAAAGCTGAAGAAGCAAAATTAAAAGCAAGGTATCCTCATCTGGGACAAAAGCCTGGAGGTTCAGACTTCTTAAGGAAACGATTACAGAAAGGGGTAAGTTTTTATGTGTAATCTTCAGATACTTAAGCTCTATGAATTTAGTGTGTCGATAGAGATTGTGAAAGGGGTATCTGCATATATAGCTTTGTACCTTACCAGATGTGTATGTAAGAGATGTGGGTGAAAGTGTTTTTCGTAATATTTTAGACTGTTCATTCTATATATATGATAAGAATTAAGGATACCAGACTCTATCACTTTTAACTGTAAAGTATTTCAAACATATAGAAGGGTGCAAATGATAATATAATGGAACCCATGTACCATCACCCAGATATAACATGTTTAAATATTTTGCTATATTTACTTAAGTTTTATCTTTGTAAGAAAGAAAATGTAGATATAGTTAAAAATCTACCACGTGTTTATATATCCCTTTTCTCCCTTCTCTTCAAAAGCAACCATTATCCACAAGCTGGTATTTATTCTGCCCATGTTTCTTTTCACTTTTAACTGTTTTAAAGGTGATTTCCACACAATATCCAAAGGCCTAAAATAATTTTTATTTGAATGAAATAATCACTTATAAAAACATAGTTTACTATCTTTCCTTTACATACTACATTTCACAGTTATTCTGATACAACTTATTTTCTGCAATTTTTAGTAGTTCAAATTACCAAAGACATTTTTATAATCTACCACACTTTGTGAAGCAGAAACCATTATTTCTCAAATGAGATCTGAACTGAGATAATGTTACATGTTTATTCCTTAGGTTTTTCCTTTTTAACTTTTTTCTTTGTTTTTTTAAAAAAAATTAAGGGCTCCGTCTTCAGTCCAAGCACACTTAAATTAATTACCATATAGGGAGCAGGGGGAAATGAAATGTTTATGGGAGAGAATTGTTAATTGAATCAGATGCCAAATCATGTTTTTCCCTAAATTAATACCTTAAATATACCGGTATCTGCAGCTTGATTATACAAACATGTGTGTTTATATATATATATTAGCTATAGTTATATATGGATTATTTTCTCCAATAAACCAAATTTCAAAAGGATCCTTTTTCTAGCTTAATTGAGATACAGTTGACATACAGCATTATGTAAGTGTAAGGTATACAATGAGATGACTTGATACATGTACATGTTGTGAAATGCTTACCACAGTAAGTTAACACATCCTTTATCTCACATAATTACCATTTTGTTGTTAGGGTGAAAACATTAAAGCCTCACTTTTATTAGCAACTTTGAAGAGTATAATCGGTATTGTTAACCGTAGTCACTACACTGCACATTAGATCCCTGTAATTTATTCATCTTATGATTGAAAGTTTGTACCCTTTGACTAACATCTCCCCATTTCCACTGCCCCTTAACCCCAGGGAACCTCCATTCCATTCTGTGTTTCTGAGTTTGATGGTTTTAGAGTGCACACATAAGTGAGATTGTGTACTATGTATCTTTCTACCAAGTTATTATAATTTAACAAATTAGTTTAACAAATTTTTTTAAAGTAACAAAATATTGAATGGTCTCTTTTTTTAAATGTCAATATTTTATTAATAACCAAAACAGAATTTATTATCTTCTTAACTTTCCTGGCTTTAAAGAAGCTAACTTATCAATAATAGTTTAATGGTATTTTTTTTTCTTACCTTACATGAAAGAATAACATTCGCAGCTTTGAAATAATAGGATGACAAGGAAGAATTATTCCAAATATATAAGAATGTAAAACTTTTGATCCATGAGAAGTAATTTAATGGGGAAATTATTACAAAAATGATAGTTAATACCTATAATGTATGAAGAGATCTTTCAAATTTACCAGAAAAACATTAAGGAGCTCCTATGTAAAGGATATTAACACAAAACACATATTAAACTCCAAGACAAATATTTATCCATGATAGAAATCAATGAAATGTAAATAAAAACAATTATACCATTATATACATACAACTAAATTAGGGAAATAGTTAAAATAATACCCACTAGTGAGGTTGAAGTTGTATGTTGCTAATATGCTCTTTGCTGTGTGTAGCATTTAAAATTATTACCATTGTTTTGGAAAGGGATTTGGATGGAGATTTATTAAAATGTTCATATTCTTTGAGTAATTACTTGTGAATTAGTTCAAGGGTGTAAGTCCGTATAAGGTAAATGTTTGTTTGAAGATACTCTTTGTAGCTTTAACATAATTAGAAGCAGCATCACTGTTGAAGAGCAGAGTTAAATTGTGATATGTCAACCAGGAATTATCTTGGGGTTAGTATTGTAGGTATTGTAAATAGTTGCAAATGAGAAAATGCCACTGAATCAAGAAATAAGTAGACAAAATCCTTGTTAAAAGAGTTGATTTTTTAAAGCAGTCTGAAACACAGTCCTGGGTTTTAGCTTTTCTCTGTTGAAATAGCAAGCTGCAAAATTGAGATGTATCTTTAAGTAGTTTATTCTTAATTTGAGAGGAAGGGTTGGATGTTATTTATATGAGGCCCCTTTCTGTTTCACTGTACTTGTTATTGTGAGATGTCAAGGATTGACACCTATTTTAGGCTTTTACATAATGTGCTGTGTACATAATGACTAGACTGTCAGAGCTAGGTGCGATATCAAGAACCAGTCTACTAGTGCGTGTTTTTTTCCTATTTGTGGAGTTTGTGAAGTACCAAGAAAACCAAGGATCCAGTTTTCAGAAACATCTTAAAAGTTCAACATTGTCACATAGGTGATCACTCAGTGCAGTTATATAAGTCCTGACATAAGTGTGGCCCCTAAATTTGGGTGGGAGGAGACTTTTATAAGATTGTCATCCAGATGATCCAGATACATTTTGTAATTTTTAAACATTTTCACTAAAAAAGACGCAGAATTTATTCCAAAGTGTTGAGTTCAGTTCAGGGCAGCTTCCCTGTTCTGTTAATTAAACTTTGGGACACTAAAACACTGGCTTAGGAGAGATGATTGGATAGAAGGCATTGCTCTATTCATTTACCTCCCAGCCTACAAAAATGAAAATAAATCAATAAGTGAAATGAACTAAAAACTGGCATTGCACAGCATAAAGGTAATGATAAAGTTCATGTTAAAAATTGAACATTTTTTTTCCCCCATGGAAAAAAAAGTTTAAATTGTTAATGACTAATATTGCCTTCTTACACTGTATCTGTCCCAATATGAGAAACATTGATCTAGTTCATTTTCTACCTAGAGAGTTATAATTGTTAAGCATTGATTTTAGTTTTGCCTATAGCCACACAAAATAAATTTAATTGCTTTTTCCCAAGGAGAGTAGCCTCATCTACAGTGAGCTCTCCTTATGATGAACTTCTGCTTACTATAAAATAGTTATTAGAAACTAACTTTATCACGCTGGGGAAAATCAGCCTGAAATTTGCACTGTGTGTTTAAGTAATTAATTTTGTGCTTTTGACTGAGTAAAAAATTTGGCAGGCTGCTGTTCTCTTCTCGAGGCTACTAAACTTTAGTAGCTCTCTGTAGTACATAGAAGTTTTGAGATTTTTTTTCACTGTACTCACTTTAAAACATGCAAAAATGAAGCTGCAGTTAAGCCTTAGAAAGCCGTGGTCCAAGTTTGCTTGTTATTGCTTAGTGCGTTGCATATGTAGTGACACATGAAAAAAATTATTTCTAACTTAAGACCCTTTGACCAGACCTGACTTATCAAAGAATAGTCTCTGGAGGGAGGCAGCCAATGAGACTTTTTCCCAGACCACTCAACAATCTTGTACTGCTAAGCTGAGTTCACAGCTACTTCATTTACCACACGAGCTATTCTTGGTCTCAGAGAGAACATTTGTTTTTTTTCCTCTTACTCTTCGTCCAGGCCCTCATGTCATTCCTGGATTATTCCCTCTTGCCTATCCTAGACTGAGGTTAGTTTCCTCTCCTCTAAGCACCCACACCACCCTGTATACAATACAGTACACTCAAAACAGTATAATAGTTGATTGATTTGCCTGTTGTCCATCTCTCCCCAGGACTCAATACAGTGCCTCATGTATAGCAGGCACTCTGCAAAGGTAGGCTAAACCTGATAGGTGGAAGTGAGAACCAAAGCAAAAATTTTCTGTTTTCACTGTGGAACAGATAACTCAGTATAGAGTACCATGCTACAGTTGATCGTTAGCTTTCATCCCTATTTCTATTTTAGTGATTGTTGGTAAATTAACCTTATTCATCCCTTCAACTACAAAGAGCAGTAGTTGTATGTATTCAGTGTCTTAGTGAAAAATGGAGGTGTAGGATAAGGATGTGTATTTTAAGTGATAATTTCTAGTGAGTTTATTTTTTCTAATACTGTAGCATTTATATTTTATCCTTAAATTTTTAAAGAGGTTTTACGTATCTTTTTAGAGAGAGGAAAGGAAGAAGAAAGAGAGGGAGAGGAACATCAGTCAGTTGCCTCTCACAGGCCCCCAACTGGGGACCTGGCCAGCAACACAGGCATGATTCACTGGGAATCAAACCAGTGATCTTTCAATTTGCAGGCTGGCACTCAGTCCACTGAGCCACACCAGCCAGGACTAGCCTTCATTTTCGTTTTAGTTAACTACTCAGGTTCAAGTAAATGATTTCGATCAAGAAATGCTTGTCCTAGATGACAGTATGAGCAACTATAAATAATAATTTTAATAACCATGAGGTTGATTGAAAGTGAGTGGCGCATCCTACGCCCACTCACTTTCTCGAGTGAATTTATATATTTTATTTTCAAAACCATTTAAGCAAGAATATCTGCTTGCTTTTTCCTTTAGTAAATGAAAGGTTTGCATTTCATTCTTTAAGTCCAGGACTGTTCATGCCTGGATAGATTAATAAGGAAGCTGATGGCAGTCTTGAGGGTTCAAGACTTGAAGTGTTGTTGCCTGACTTCTGCTGAATCTCAACACACCGACATAGCTATTTCATCTAATACTTGTTTCTGTTTAAATTTGTAAGAATAGTTTATACTGACACTACAGAGTCACATCTACATCTTAAACCAGTGTGATTGCATATAAAAGCTTTTAAATTCTAAATTTTTTTTTCTTGTAGCAAAAATATTTTGATTCTGGGGATTACAACATGGCTAAAGCAAAAATGAAGAACAAGCAACTTCCGACTGCAGCCCCGGATAAGACAGAGGTCACTGGTGATCACATTCCCACTCCACAGGACCTTCCTCAACGGAAACCATCCCTTGTTGCTAGCAAGCTGGCTGGCTGATTAAAAGAGCTGAACTGCATGCATCTTCTAATTCCTGTTGTTTTTCCTTAATATGTTACTTCCCGCTTTTTATTTCATTTCATTCACTAAGTCGTTTGAGAGTGACAGCTTTGCAGGTAGTGGTAGTGTGTGCTGCTATTGTAAGGGAAGATACATGTGTAGAGGTTTTGATTAGTTTAACAGTGCACTGATGAAGAGAACATGTTAGAGCAACATAAAGTAATCTACTTGAAAATAATTGTATATATTACCTAACTCCTAGTATAGGACCGGTCGTAACAAACTACCAAGCAAGTTTTACAATTTTAATGTTTTGGCTTTCTTTAATTCATCCTAATTATAGCTTTGTGTGTTACTCTTATTTAATTAACCTTTACTGTATTGATTTATTCTGTATCTTCCTTTTGGATTTTATAAAACAGAAGTTTAAGACCACAAGTTGGAAGAAAGGTCGCATATTTCAAACACCAACAGATGGGGCTCCAAAAGATTTGTCTTTCTGTGCTTGAACTTGAATGGCCTTAAACCTGATTCAGCTTTAACAATAGAAGTTTACTTGGGCAATATTTGTCCATTCTGGTGTAACTTATGTGACCCTAGTGCTTAACAGCTGCCATTGAAGCTAATATTATTCAGTTATATAGTTACAATACCTTTTGTTGTTAAAGATATGAATGAAGTATGCATGTGCATTGACTGTTGAATTCACTTTTGTGCCATTTTTGTAAATACAGTAGTTTTGCACAACCTCTCACAAATGTCTGTATTAATTTCACATATTAAAAATTAGATGATGTGCCAACCAGAAGCACAAAAGTTCCTACACAAAACTCTATATGCCATTAGAGCTTTTGTAAAGAGTAGTTTACAATCATGGGCTTATAGAATACCAAACTGAAATCTTTCCTCAGTCTGCCATAGACTTAAGCTTTTTCATTTGTTACTAATATCCATGACGTTCAGTGGCCTTGTGCAAATATGATATGTTGCTTAGGCATATCTTTTGTCCTATGCAGAACATTTCATTTTGACTTTTATGAAAATTGCAATTCATGTAATTTATATAAACTTTTTAAATGTAGAAACTTTTTACTTCCACAATTTTGAGGACACTAGAATAAAAGGCTTCGATATTTTGCGTCCTGTGGCCCCTCCCTCCTTTTTTTTTTTTTTTTTTTTAATTTTTTTTTTATTCCTGCTTTGACTCAAATCATGTTGGGCTGTGCTGGTCAGTCTATTCAGAAGCATAGTGTATCCTTACTCTTGAAATTTGCTCTGCTGAATGCTGTTTTTTGATGATGTTTTCCTTATAACTTTTTAGTTAACCATTCTTATTCCTGTATTATTTCTAATATTTGACCGTTGTTAAAATAAAAAGAACTTTATAATGAAACAAATACTTGAGAAGACTGGTCCAGAAACCTGTGTCAGGATCAGGATAAGTTGAACTCTGGTATATAATTTTAAGTAATTATGATTAGCTACGTGTATTAGGCTTAGGACAGTAATTTACATGATAGGTGGGACATACTCATATTACAATGTTTAGATATATTGCTTCTATAGATACCACTTTAATAAAACATCAATTTAATTTTACTTGTTTTTTTTTAATCGAGTTGGTAAGAACTTCTAACAGACTTTACTGGGACAGATTTACTGCTCTTTTAGGAGCTCTTCCCACAGTCATAATGCTGTAGCGTGATAATGAGGACCAGTCATCTGAGATGATATTCTTTTTCACCTCATCTTTGACTTGCACAGGGCCTCCCTTCTCTGGGGCCCAGGCATCTTTTCTGGATCTTGGCTCTATTTGTATACCTGCTTTCTTATGTCCCCAAATCATTGTAGATGGTGCCTTGAGTATAGCACCTGCACTTAAGGACAGCCTAATGATGCTCTGAGGAAAGCTCACTGATTATCTTTCTGCTCTACCCATCCCAAAATGCAGAAAAGCAACAAAATCAGTAATATGCTAATCTGCAATGTTAATAGGACAAGTAGGTTACTCTGCAGTATGTGTAATTACTGTAGGATCAACTTAAGAATTACAAAATAATGCTCACTTCAACAGCACGTATACTAAGATTGAAATGATACAGGGAAGATTAGCATGGCTCCAGCACAAGGGTGACATGCAAATTCATGAAGCATTCTATATTTTAAGGGGAAAAAAATCTACAAAATACTATAAAGTAGAATTTCTGCAATATCTAGTCCTTTTTAATGAATATGTACAAGATATCACCATTAATTCTACACATCAGAGAAGATTAATTAAAATATCAGACCATGTTATTTTTGACCATGGTAAGACTCTTGCTTTGGTTTGTGACAAGTGATGTAACCTCTGCCTGAATTTTAGTTTGTAAAACACAATGCTAAAATTTAACCTACCTCAAAGCTTGAGGATCTGTGAAATGCTGAATAAGTGCCCAAAATAAAATGCTGTTGATCGTCTTTTTATTAAAAGTAAATTTCCTCATTAAACCAACCTGCCTTCTGTAAAGTCACAGTGCTTAAAATCTCAGGATTTTCCATTAGGAAAGACCTGTCATTAAGGATTTGTAGGTACAATTGCTTAGCCTCTATTATTGGTGCTTGGGATAAAGAGGTTTTAAATTTTTGTAATCTTGGTTCTGCCTCAATGATAGGTTTAAGGAAGACGTTTGCAGGCTGTTTCACCATTGCCAGAATGAAGATTTTGACTAGATGAGCTTAATCGTAATCATCCATTTCTGTGATTTCAGAATTGTGGTTTGAAATAAATGAATGCAGGAGCAAAGCTAAGATAACAACTTCTTGAAAGAATTGGCTAACGTCTGAAATAAACTACCTGTTTCATGTCTAGGAGCTCCTACTTGATAGTAGAGTTTTGAGAAACACTTTCGAAAGCTACAGCTGACTAAAATAATTATAGTTCCTGGCATTTGGGATAATAATGATTGTTGGATTGTTTTTGATTAACTGGAAGGAGCATATTTGCAGTCTTTTTACAAATTACTCAATCCTCTTGTGCTACTGACCTAAAAATAAGTCTTTACTATTCTTCAAGGCAGACAGGCAGGCCTCTACTTGTTATTACATCAACAGTTGGAATTAGTTGCTCTTTTTACTTGATGTGACAAAACCATACCTCTGAACATTTATTGATAGTTTTTACTAAATCAGACATGTATTTTTTTTTTCAATCCAAATTAGTGGAGTTTTATCAGAGCTGAGATGTAATCTCAAACTGTGCTCCAAACTTGGTGTTCGGTGAGTCGGGCAGGTAGCCATAGGAAGAGCACATTTGGTGACTAGAGCAGTTTCTGTGGTGGCCTTTTCACATTCCCCAACATGCAAACACATTTCCACTCATTTTCCTTTTTCACTTCGTTTTCATCCCTACCCTGACTTATTTAAGCCCCCTGATGGCTTTTATTAAATGGTGTTTAGGGCTGATTAATTATCATTTCTTACTATTGTTCCCAATAGGTTTCAATTCAATTTTCTAAAACACTATCCTAATCTGGATAATGACCAATTTGAGCCACTGTTCCAACTCTGTAACTCAGCATACACTGCCAGTCTTTCCCACCACACCTTATTAATTGAGATAAACCTCATTCTGAGATTGTTAAGAATAAAAACACTGATTTTAATCGTTTTTCTAGTTTCGGTCTTCTAAGTAGGTTGGCCTATGAGTTTTATTCTGCAAGTCATTGGTGGTCATGATAACCATTAACATATGTCTGTGTTATGTTATTTATCAACTAAATGGCATTGATATTCTTGTAATATGCCCTCAAGCCTGTTACCGCATCTCTACCTGTGATGCAATAGGACACTTCACCTGTATTAAAGGGGTCAAGAGTAAATGCCTTTTTTGTTGAACACATCTATAGAGTTGGCAATTAATGCTGAAATTTGTCAAATAGCCCTTCCAAAATTATACTTGTGAAATACACGGAAAAATAAACTGATCTACTTAATTTCTATTGATTTAATTTGCAGTTTTTGTCTCATTTAAGTGTTATATTGTTTCTCAGTATATTTTCTGAAGTTGACCTAGATTTCAGCTACTATATACAGAAAGAATTGTGCTCTTAAATTTTGTTTTAAGTAATGTGTGTGAATGAGATCCTAGCAATTAACTTTTATATTTGTAAAGGCTTTGTGGTTAAGGTAACATTAAATGTTTGCAGATTATGAGTAATCATGTCATGTATAAAACACACTAGTACAGTAATGTCAGAAATGGATGAGAAAAAATTTACATTCTGAAAAATTATATAAAATGTGTGTTTAGTATATGTACAGAACATTTAATGCAGGTGTTAAGTATTACACCCCTTAAGAAGTAGAAATAAAGTTCCAGGAAAACTAGAGGAATGAGTTATTCAATGTGGGGGGATAAATGGGATGAGTGGTAGATGGGAGAAGTTTCACAGGTGGCTCTAAGAGATTGGTTGCCATAGTCATGGCAGAAGACCTTTTTAAGTAGAGGAAATGTTATTTTCAAATAGTTAAAAGAGTTGGGAAATGTGGACCTGTATAAGGAAGTTTGGTTGGAGAACATGGCATGCAGAGGAACTCGATTTTTCTCCCTGATTTCTTTTCTCCAGCCTTCAACTCAGGTACTCAGACCAACCCTGATTTCCTCAAGCTGGGACCAACATCCACCATAATCTAAATTTTACATTTCTCTCCGCTGCTGCCACCATACCCCAAGCCACTTTCTTACCTGCATAACTGCTGTAGTTCTAACAATCACTTTCTATACCTGCCTCCTTGTTCATGCTGCAGCCTTAATCTATTCACTTATACCACCCTGCTTCTGTTCTTAACATATAACCTCTTAAAATTTTCCACAGTCATTCCTGCTCCTGTTCTACACATTTTTCTTCTCCATTAAACACTTCCCCTGGTTCATAGCTTGGCTGGCTATTTTTCATTCTGATCTTAGCTCAACTTTTAGCTTCCTCAGAGGGGGGGTCTAGTTCATTATTGTGTCCCTAGCACCTAGAAACAGTTCAACATACTTATGTCCTTGTTGAACAAGTAAAGTAAAATAGAATATTGGGCTGGAAGTGTAAGTGGAAAAGATTAAGGATATGGATGCAGAGAGAATGCCTGATGCTCGGTTTCAGCCATGTCTAGCCTTCATTGAAGTAGGACTTTATTTCTGTGAATGAAGAAATGTCAAAGAGCTCTCATAAACTCCATAACCGAAATTGCTATACTTGATTTCCATGGCAAGGGTGTCATGTGACCATAACCTTGAAAGCATCCTTTATCTGATTTCCAAGGCTCTTCACTGGCCCATTTCCAGTAGTCCAGGCTGATCAATGTATTGTAAGTTCTTGCTTTTCTGCATCTACACAAGCTAATATTTCTAATGACTGTATAAATGGAAGTTGCCATTTGTTTGAATTATTGCCAGAAACGGTAACTGTAGGGTAGCCAGATTTTAACAGTAAAGATAAGAGGTAGATACCAGTGAGCAACTTTCTGTCAGGTCACGTTTGTTAAGTTTTAGGACACACCTTTCTTATCTTCCTTAATCCTCAACTACTTTAATACCCATATTGTGAGAAGCCTCGATCACTATGGATACATTTGCTAAAAGAGAGACGAAAAACATTTTTTTTTTCCCCTACTGATTGTGAGATACCTGTCTTGAAAACCTGTATATGAGTTAGGTCTATGGCTCGTGTTGTCAGCTGGGGTCACTAAGATGGTCATATATAGTATTATTCCTACCAGGTTTATTTTCTGACAGGTTTATATGTAAACTTTTAAAAAACATTGTACTTGTTTTACACCTTGTAACTCCTGGATATATTCTGTTACCACAGTGCCAGCTAATTGTAGTATATTCACATTCCCATGAGAGATGTACTACAAGAGTCAGAAGCAAAAGGAGGAAAAGCTTTCAATAAGAGGAAATGGTCTACAGTGTGGAGAGTAGCAGAGCAGGGAGAAGAGTGGGACCTGAAAAAATGCCAGCAGCTTTGGAAATTGGTATCGCTTGGTCATTTGGAAAGAACAGTTTCAGTGGAGAATGTATGTATGGGCTTGGGCAGAGAAGTTGAAGAAGACACAAACAAGTAAAGATGGAATTAGTGGAGAGGATGTTGTTTTGAGAGATTGTGAGGTACTGAAAGAAGATGATTTTAATTTTAAATGTAGGAAAGATTTGAGTATGGTTATAGGCAAAACACAAATACGTAAGAAAAACAGATGTAGAGGAGGCAAGAACTGGAATCAAGAGCAGGTGAAGAGATCACCCTTGGCGTGTCTTTCCAAGTGTCAGAGGGTGAATGGCCAGTTTGGTGGGGTAGAGGGGCGCTCACTGAATGACCTTAGTCCCATCCAGGTGGTGAGATTATTTTCAAGAGAACTAAACGAAGCAAATGCCATCAAGCAGGGCATCAGTCATAGGGCGGATATACAGTAAGGAATGATAGAACTGACAGTTGGTTCTAAATTAAATTGTTAGACTTGTTTTCTTGCTCCTATTAGAATACTTCTATGTGATTCTGAACTGAAGTTGTATAGGAGGACTTAGTGAAAAGATTTATGAATCACAAAATACATCTTTACCACCAGATTTAGCTCCCTAAAGGAGGAACTACTTGAAACAGTCAAGCTGTTGTTTTGTTTTTGTTTTTGTTGTTTTCTGGTAGTTGCCTCCATAACTCTCAATAATATGTTTATATGACTGTTGCTTGAGTTTTTACTTTTAGGCATAATTTATTGGTTTTCAAGACTGATGGAGATTTAACTTAAAATGCTTTTTACATTCCTCACATCCTGCTAGAATCATAGTGTCACTATTTTTTATTCCTTTGTAGACTTTTTTTACAATGTCTTATAGTGTATTTTCACCTTTATTTTATTGGCTGTCAACAGTATTTCTTGGTTCCCTTGTGTGTAAGATGACAATATTAATACCCCATGCTTCCTTTTGACTCTCCTCCATTCTCTTTTTTAAAAAAGATTTTTTTTTTATTTTTAGAGAGAGAGGAGGGGACAGAGAAAGAGGGGGATAGGAACATCGATTGGTTGCCTCTCACACACGCCCCCAAATGGGGACCCGCAACCCAGGCATGCGCCCTGACTGGGAGTCACACTGGCAATCTTTAGGTTCGCAGGCCAGCACTCAGCCCGCTGAGCCACACCAACCAGGGCTCTCCTCCCTTCTCTCAGTGTTTGTCATCTGTATTCTTACAATTACATTATGAAGGTTGATAAAATTTACATTCTATTTTATAATCATTAATAGTCCTCGGCTGTATAGGTTGATATAATTCACTGCAGGTCACAGTTTATACTAGGCTTACATTTCCTTCTATAGCTTTCTGTTTTTGTGCTTTTAATTACATTTTCCCCCTTGGTATTTTGGCTTCTATCATAGACAAAATTATTTTATGTTTCCTACCATGTCTAATATTCAAGAGTCTTCCTTTTGCTCCAGAAAACTCTCTCCTGGAGGCCACTTCTTTCTTGCTCCGGTCTGAACTTGTTGCTTTCTTATCCTAATGCACAGCTTACCTGTTCTCCTGAACAGACCGAATCCATTATTTTCTAGATTCCATGTATGACAGTCATTGCTTTTTGCCTTTATCTTAGGTAAGATCCCCTAGAACAAGTGGAAGTTTGAAAAATTTTGTGAGTAGTTATATGCAGCATAAATATCTTACCTCAATTTGTGGCTTGTCTTGTATTAGTAGGGATATTTGTTGATACACTTGTAGTTATATTTCAGAACTATTTCAAACATATCTTTGCGAAAACTGAATATTCTCCTCCCCCACATGTTAATTGTTCATCCTCTGATACACAATAACTATTTCCACCTAATATTTCTATCACTCAATCACAGTGCATTCTGACTTCATTCAGTTACCACCTTTCCACAAAAGGTAAGTTCATTTGCTCTAGCACAGCCCAGTGCCTGGCCATAGTTAAATGCCCAACAAATATTTTTGGAAAGAAATTACACCCTCGAGACTAGCCATTTGCATTCATCCCTCCTATACCATCTTATGGTCAGTGACCTTATCACAAATTCATAATTCTGGCTCATTTAATCAGATCACTTACAAAATTGTTGGAATGCTAGGGAAACAGTCTTGATGTAAATCTAGAGCAGCCCCAGAAACATGCTTCAGCAATGACCTGAGAGGGAAACTGCTGCCACAACCACCCCTAAACCCTGAGAGGCAGGAGCCCAACTTTGATGTAGCCACTGTTGTCCCCCAGACTTGGCCACCAATGCTGCCACCTTCATTGGCAAGTGGAAGTTCTGGCCAGAGCCTATTTCTTGTATCCTAAGTATCCTAAATCTTGTGCAGATGAATCTAGTAGACTAGGTCATATGACAGCATCCAACCTGCAAAAGAGGTGGGGACTGGCATCTTGATTTTTGTAACAAGAGGCAGGACTAAGGTGGAAATTTCCTTAAAATACAGAAAAGAGGACAGGCAAACAAATACGATAGATGCTGTTAGACCTTCTGACATGGTTCAATACAGCACCGCAGTGTTGTCTACATTAGTGTGTGAGAACTTCAGGGAGTTCAGCATTTCCTTACTCATTTTAATTTGTCATGCCTCGAGGCATTAAAAGAGCATCTTAAACTATATAGCAAGGCGGTAACCAAATTAAGTCAGAACATTTGTACAGTCTTAATCTTTGATCTACTTATCTTTCCTGGCTGACCCCAGAGTTTATTATTTTCCTCATCAAAAATGTTCTTTCAGAAGCCCCTCATTTCTTAGTTCTGCTTTCATTGAATCCTGCAACATGACAGAACCGGGCAGTCCAGGCCAGGGAGTGAATAAGGGGGAGACAGGACTGAAAATTTGATTAATACTATCTCAAAATTGTATAGCACAGTCCAGTTTCCAATACGCTTTCTCATCTCATTCGAACCCGTTAACAATACCCATGTCAGTTGTCCCACTTTTGCTGATTTTATAAAAAGATAGCCTCAGGTTTC